AATATTGCATGTCTCTATCTGTTTTCATGAGAAACCACTTTGAAGATATCAATATGTAATACAACAAGCATTGTTAATTTCCTACCACTTTGTTTGTGACTCTGTATTGTCCATACTGTTCTTTTGCTATTTTGTAAAAGATTGTCCGTCTGTTAATGTTTTCCTCCTTTCATTTTTAAAATTAAAAAAAAATACTAATTTTGTAACAGCAACCATAACTGCTAGTATTATGCATATTTCTAATCCTCACACTAAACTTATTTATAAAATTGAAAGTATCACTGGTTTATCCTTGAAGAAACTGAAACTCAAATAACTATATGGTACAGTTCAAGTTGTTTGTAACTAGGTTGATATTTGAAACTATTTACGGTCAAAGCTTCCATTCATTTTTAAAACCTTTACTTTGTTGTGATGATTTCCTAAACTACCTTTTAGGGCCCTCCAATTCTCCTATCTGTGCCACAACTTCTGAGACCTGCAACAAGTGTAAGACAAGAAAAATGACCTTGGAATCAGACCTACCAGGGTTAAATTCCAGCTCTGCCAGCTACATATCCACAGGCACACACACCCTTTCAGATGCTTATTTTCACACATAGTCATTTGCATAGTCACCATCACACACATTTACTCACACAAGTTTTGATGAAGATTTACACATGGACACACATTTTCACAATTCACACAAACAGCCCTCTACTATGACACTTCACATATACGTATTTTTAAACTTTCTCATTCACATACCCTCACATAATCATTGTCTCACCAAACTTGCACAAATAATTTATGTCTCACATAAGCCATAAATTTTCTTACCTCCATTTGACATTCTGACTTCCATTAAGTCAGTGTCCTCCAGCAGGTGCAGCTTCCCGAGGTTATTTACTCTTACCAGTCTGCAGCCTGTCAGCCCACTTACCTATGCCAGAGGAAGGGACTCACACAAATCCGACTAGTAGAGTAACACCCCAGCTTCACCACTTCCACTCTGAACTGCCCGTGCTCAACTCAGAGATATGAAATGTAAGAGCTGCTCCGGTCTTTATTCCAGGAAATCATCAAATTGCCGCCTTGAGCTAAGACCTGCCCACTGCCTGCTTTTGTAGGTAAGCTTTGATTGGAACACAGCCACTTCCTTTATTTATATACAAACTGTCTATGGCTGCTTTTGTGGGGCAGAGCTGAGCAAACCAAATTTTGAGCCTCAAATATTACTCTAGCCCTCTGCAGAGCAAATTTCAGACCCCTACTTAGAATAATCTTGTCATGTAAATTATTATGAATATGATTCCCCCAAAAGAAAGCAATTTTCCTGTCACAGAAGAAATTAATTTAAGGAAGTCTAGAAGTTGCCTTGCTTTTCACTTTGCTACCATTTCCACTATGCTACTACACTTCTGCAGCAATATTTTGGTCTGTCCTCTCTAACTCTGTTTCAAAGGACATGAAAATCCAAAGTGGCCAAAAGATGAAGGCAATCAATCATTGTTTCCATGTGTTCCATCAATAAACTCAGTATTTACCCCCCACTCCTTTTCCCCCATGCTCTCTCAGACTCCAGATCTTATGACTATGGGCTGAAGGGCCCACAGAAGCACCAGGCTGTGCTGGCTGGCACCGTGTACCTCTCTCCTCACCTCAAAGTGTCCATCATAGCCATCTATAATCACCAACTGAAGCCATGTCCCTGCCTTGGTCCCAGGGTGTCCCCACAACCAGAAGACTGTGTGCAGTGGCTGGTGAACCAAGCTGAAAGAGGAACTGCAGGACAACTTATCTTTTCTCTGAGGGTCCTTAGGGATCATGGACTTTCTTCTCCCCTAGGATCACCTCTACTGCCAATGATGTAACTATGAAATCATTCACTCTTTCATGGCATACATGCTGGAAGACCATCGTAGAAAGTATGCTTGAGACGTTCAG